AGCATGAAAACAGACTAATGTAGCCACAAAACAAGCTTTAACGAATTTAAGAGAACAAAGAATGAAAAGCAGGGAAGACTGTCTACAAGATAAATAACATTAAAAACTTTCAAAAACCTGAGAAAGATATTAATATCCAGTTACAGGAAGGTCAGAGAACACCAAATAGAACTGACCCAAATAATACTACCCCAAGTCATATAATAATCAAACTCTCAAAGGTCAAGGACACATAGAGAATTCCAAAGCAACGAAAGAAAAGCAAGTAAGATAATAAAGGAGCTCCAATTTGACAAGAGACACCCCAGCAGAAAGAATGTAGGCCAGTATAGAGTGGAATGACATTCTCAAAGTTCTAAATGTAATGAAAAAAAACTCTGCTAAACAAGAATACTGTGTCCAGCAAACTATTCCTTCAAATATGAGGGACAGATTGAAGTCTATTCCCTGACAAAAAAAAGCCAAGCTAATTCACCACTACCAGGCTAGTTTTACAAAAACAGCTAAAGGAAATTCTTCAATCTGAAATAGAAAACATCAACATTAAAAAAATTTTTAAGGCATAAAACCCACTGGCAAAATAAAATACATGAACAAACACAGAATATTCTAGTACCATAACTACAATGTGTAATCCACTCATACCTCTGGCACAAAGCCCAAGAGACAAATCTATCAAAAACAATAGCTACCGCAACCTGTTAAGAGATAGACAATATAAAAATATGCAAACTGAGACAATTAAAGCTCAAAATGAGGGGTGGAGAGAAGGAATAAAGTTTGTTCATTTTGTTCTTGGGTTTTTTTTTCTTTGTGATCTAAGTTATCATCTCTTTAAAATAACTTGTTATATTTTTTTCTAAGCCTCATGGTAAAGCCTATAATAGATTCACTAAAAATAAAAAGCAGTGAATTAAAACATTCTAGAGAAAATCACTTATCCATAAAGGAAGACAGTAAGAAAGAGTGGAATTACAAAACAACCAGAAGATAAGTGACAAAATGACAGCAATAAGTCCTTACTTAATAATAATGACCATAAATGGACTCAATTCTCCAATTAAAAGGCATAAAGTGGCTGAATAAAGAAACATAACAGAACTATACAGTCCCTATAAGAAACCCACTTCACCTATAATGACACGCATACACTGAAAATGATAGAGTGGAAAATGATATATCAACTAGAGACCAGAAAAGAGTATTACTAGCTATACATAGATCAGATAAAATATACTATAATCAAGGCCTTAAAAAGTGACAAAGAAGGTAATTACATAATGATAAAGCAGTCAATTAGGCAAGAGGATATAATAATTATAAATATTAAGTATCTATGCACCCAACACCTAAGCTCCCAAGTTTATAAAACAAACATTAATAGACCTAAAGGGATAAAGCAAAAGATAGACTGCAAAACAAAAACAGTATAGGACTTTAACATCCCACTCTCAGTAATGGACAGATCTTCCAGATATAAAAAAATCAACAAAGGTCTGGGAGCGATGGCTCATACCTGTAATCCCAGCACTCTGGGAGGCTGAGGCAGGAGATCAAAACCATCCTGGCTAACAAGGTGAAACCCCATCTCTACTAAAAATACAAAAAACTGGCCAGGAATGGTGGCACGTGCCTGTAGTCCCAGCTACTCAGGAGGCTGAGGCAGGAAAATTGCTTGAACTCAGGAGGTGGAGGTTGCAGTAAGCTGAGATTGCACCACTGCATGACAGAGTGAAATTCTGTCTCCAAAAAAAAATCAACAAAGAAACATCAGACTTAAACTACACACTAGACCTAGTAGGCCTGACTGACAGAACATTTTACTCAATTGCTGCAGAATATACATTCTTTTTGTCAGCATATGGATTCTCCAGAATAGATCATATCTTAGGGTGCAAAACAAGTTTCAACAAATTCTAAAAAGTAAAAACCCTATCAAGTATCTTTTCTGATTACAATGAAATAAAACTAGAAATCATTAACAAAAGGAACCTTAGAAATGTCAAAAAGACATGAAAATTAAACAACATGCTCTTAACCAACCAATAAATCAATGAAGAAATTAAGAAGAAAATGTAAAAGTTTCTTGAAACAAATTAAAATGAAAATAAAACATATCAAAATCTATATAACAAAATCCAGTAATAAGAGGGAAGTTTATTTGAAGCCCTTCTACTTTTTTGATATATGTGCTTATTGTAAGCAATAGCAGGTATATCAAAAAAGTAGAAGGGCTTCAAATAAAGCTATTGCTTATTGTAAGGGCTTCAATAAGCTATTGCTTATTTTAAGTAATAGTACACGTATCAAAAAAAAGAAGGCCTTCAAATAAACAACCTAACAATAGACCTCAATGAACTAAAAAAGCAAATAAAAAACCTAACTGAAAACTAGCAAAAAGAAAGAAATGACAAGGATGAGAGCAGAAGTAGATAAAATGGAAACTGAAGAAACAATATAGAAGAGCAACAAAATAAAAGTTGGTTTTATGAAAAGATAAGCAAAATTGATAAGCCTTTAGCTAGACTAACAAAATGAAGCTAGCATTACCATGATACAGAAATCAGAAAAGAACACAAGGAAAAGAGAAAATTACAGGCCAATATTACTGATAAACATAGATGCAATAATTCTCCATAAAATACTAACTGATGGAATTCAACAATACATTAAAAAATCATTTACCATGAATTAGTAGGAGTCATTCCAGGGATAGGATAGTTTAACCTATGCAAGTCAAGAAACGTGATGTATCGCATCAATAGCTCCAAGAAGAAAAATTATATGATTAGTTCAAGAAATTTCGAAAAGGCATTTAATAAAATTCAACATCCCTTTATGATAAAAACTCTCATCGACATTGGTATAGAAGGAATATATCTCAAAATTGTAAAGGTCACGTATAACAAACCCACACCTAACACTGTACTGAATGGGAAAGACTGAAAGCCTTTCCTCTAAGATCTGGAGCAAGACAAGGATACCCATTTTCACTATTTGTATTCACTATAGTAATAGAAGTCCTGGCCAAAGCAATTAGGCAAGAGAAAGAAACAAAAGGCATTCAAATTGGACGGAAGAAGTCAAATTAGTCTTGTTCTCAGATGACTTGATCTTTTACCTAAAAGAACCTAAAGGTTCCACCAAAAAACTGTTAGAACTGATGAACAGGTTATGGAAAGTTGCAGGATACAAAGTAGACATACAGAAACCAGTTGCATTTATATGTACCAACAGCAAACATTTGGAACAAAATCAAGAAGGTAATCACATTCACAACAGCTGCAAATAATATATGTAGAAATCAAATTAACCAAAGAAGTGAAAGATGAAAAGTGAAAGTTTCTATACAAGAAACATTATGAAACACTAATGAAAGAAATTGAAGCCACACACAAAAAAACAGAAAGATATACCATGCTCATGGACTGGAAGAGAGCATTGTTAAAATGACAGTATTACCCAAAGCAATTTCTAAATTCAGTGCAATCCCTATCAAAATACCAACAACTTTTTTTCCACAGAAAAAGTTTCAAAATTTATATGGAATCATGGAAGAGCCTGAAAAATATCAATCCTGAGCAAAAAGAACAAAGCTAGAGGCATCAAACTATCAAAAATTTCTTTGAATTTTTCTCCAAAGCTATAGTAACCAAATCAGCACAGTACTGACATAATAATAGACACAGAGTCCAATGGAGCAGAACAGAGACCCAAGATATAAACCCATACATTTACAGCCAATTAATCTTCAACAAATGTGCCAAGAACTACATACAATGGAGAAAGGACAGTCTTTTCAATAAATGATGCTGGGAAAACTGGAAAACTGTATGCAAAAGAATGCAACTAGATTCCTATCTCTCAATGTAAACAAAAATCAAATCAAAATGGATTAAAGAGTTAAATCTAAAACCTGAAACTATAAAACTACCAGAAGAAAACACTGGAAAAATGCTACAAGACATTGGTCTGGCAAAGATTGTGTGTGTGTATAAGACTTCAAAAGCCCAGACAACAAAAGCAAAAGTGGACAAACAGGATCATGCTGAGATAAAACGCTTCTGCACAGCAACATAAACAAAGTGAAGAGGCAACCTACAGAATGGGAGAAAATATTTGCAAACTACTCATCTGATAAGGGATTAATAACCAGAATACATAAGGAATTCAAACAACCCAGTGGCAAAACAAAATAAAACAAGAACAAATCCAATCTGATTTAAAAATGGGCAAAAGATTTGAACAGGCACTTCTCAAAATACGACACACAAATGGTCAACTGCTGTATGAAAAAATGCTCAGCATCACTAATCATGAGAGAAATGCAAATCATAATACAATGAGATATGATCTCACCCCGGTTAAATGGCTTTTACCAAAAAGGTAACAATGGATGCTGCTGGCAAGGATGCAGAGAAAGGGAACCCACGTATGCTGTTGGTAGAAATATAAGTTAGTAAAGCCACTCTGCAGAACAGTACGGAGATTTTTCAAGAAACTAGAACTAAAAATATAATCCAGCAATTCCACTACTAGGTATATACCCAAAGAAAATACGTTGAAGAAATATCCACACTTCCATGTTTTTTGCAGTACTAATTTACAGTAGCCAGAATATAGAATTGACCTAAGTGTCCATTAACAGACAGATTTAAGAATAGTGGCACGACGCCGCAGACCCTGGAGCCTGCTCGCGTCGGGGCCTAGGTGAGGCCGCTGGATGAGCGGGCTCGGAAGCGCCTCGGCAGTAAAGGGACCCCCAAACCCTTTCGGGACCCTGTGAACAGGGACAGCCATCCAGAGAGCTGAGGAAGGCGTCCGCGCCCTCACCTCTAGTCCCCATGAGCTCCCAGGGAGCTGCAGTGCCTCTGGGCACAGCTCAGCCTTTAGGCCAAGCGGTGGCTGCAGCAAGCCAAACAACCCAGCAGCCCAGCAACCCAACCATGTGAGCACCTTGGGTTTGGTATCTGGAAAAGGAAGGGAGGTGGGATGCGGGGATGAAGGACAGGTGTGTGGCGTGCTGGCTCCTGGGACCCAGCACTACTGTCCTGAGGAACGTAGGGCGGCGCCTCACAATCGATGACTTTGAAATCGGGCGTCCCCTGGGCAAGGGGAAATTTGGGAATGTATACCTGGCTCGGCTCAAGGAAAGCCATTTCATCGTGGCCCTGAAGGTTGTTTTCAAGTCGCAGATAGAGAAGGAAGGACTGGAGCACCAGCTGTGCCGGGAAATTGAGATCCAGGCGCATCTACAAGTTTTTTCTGCAGTTTGTTCCATTTACACTACCTAGAGCTCCCACCCTGGGGCAGACACCCAAATCCTGGTTCCTGTCCTGTTCTCCCCTCACTCGCTCCCAGACACCCCAACATTCTACGCCTGTATAACTACTTCCATGATGCGCGCCGGGTGTTCCTGATTCTGGAATATGCTCCGAGGGGTGAGCTCTACAAGGAGCTGCAAAAAAGCGAGAAATTAGATGAACAGTGCACAGCCACGATAATGGAGGAGTTGGCAAATGCCCTGACCTACTGCCATGAGAAGAAAGAGATTCACAGAGATATTAAGCCAGAGAACCTACTGCTGGGGTTCAGGGGTGAGGTGAAGATTGCAGATTTTGGCTGGTCTGTGCACACCCCCTCCCTGAGGAGAAAGACAATGTGTGGGACACTAGACTACTTGCCCCCAGAAATGACTGAGGGGAAAACATATGATGAAAAGGTGGATTTGTGGTGCATTGGAGTGCTTTGCTATGAGCTGCTGGTTGGATATCCACCTTTTGAGAGCACCTTCCACAGTGAGACTTACAAAGGCATCCTCAAGGTGGATGTGAGGTTTCCACTATCAATGCCTGTAGGGGCCCAGGACTTGATTTCCAAGCTTCTCAGATACCAGCCCTTGGAGCGACTGCCCCTGGCTCAGATCCTGAAGCATGCCTGGGTTCAGGCCCATTCCCAAAGGGTGCTGCCTCCCTGTGCTCAGATGGCTTCTTGAGCCCTGTCTGCTTCTGTTTATGTTTGCTCAGGGAGATCTCCTAGCTCTGCCACCTCATTTG